CCCGTAGTCGAAGACACAAATCTAATTCTCGAGTCGGGACAGTTGCCGCGCAGATGGAAAGAGAGCTTACACCACAGCAGTGAGGATGGAGATGGGCCGGGCGTCTTTCCACGGCCCAGCTGGCGAGGGGGGGGGGGGGGGGGGGTGGGGGAGGGAGGAGGGGGGCGTCACCTGGTCGTACCTGCCGTGTCACCGCCGCCCGCCCGCCCGCAAGGCCGAATGGGCGACGACTTGGCGGCGTCTGGGTGAGTCGGGCGACTCGCGGCACACGCCGCCGACCCGCACGCCACCGACCCGCCCGCCAACTTGTCGCACACCTCACTCTGACCTCACAGAGGGCTCATATTTGCCTTACGGGTTAAAGACAGAGTATTTCGTTGGCTGTGCGAGTAATAGGTTCAGGACAAGATCAAGACGTGTGTGCGGAGGGGTATCATGGCGCTGCCCTTTCCCGGTTATGACGGTCTGGCCGACATCGATCTGGCGGCAGAGCCCATGGACGGCGCGTCGTTCCTGCTGACCTCGCGCATCCGTGCACTCAAGGCCGGCAACGTCCTCCCACAAGTGCCTGACGCATTTACGGTTGTCCGTCCCGTCGACTCTGGCGGCGACGATGGCTGGTCCGACGGCGACGATGGGTGGCGCCAAGGCGACGACGGCGAGCTGGCCGCTGACGGCCAGCGAGTCGCTGCCGAGATCTGGTCCCCAGCCGCTCGCGTAGGCAAATGGTTCGATCCAGAGTGGGTGGTGGCGACGTTGCGTGCGTTTGCTGTCCTCCGTGCGAGCTGGCGGCGAGATGTGGCGGCTAGCGCCGAGAACAGCCCGCTGACCTGCGCTGATCTGGACTGGCGGGCTCTGCCGCGGACGGCTGATCTCTGCCGTCTGTCGCCTGCAGAGGTGACTCAGGCGGTGTGGAGCGTCACCAAACAGGTGGCAAGCGAAGGAGAGGCGCTAGTTTGGGCATGGGCTCTGCTGGTGGCCATCCACCCGCCGCCGCTTGGTTCGGACACGGTGGCAGCGCTGCGAGCCCTGTTGCGGGCGCTGCTGCGGGTGATTGAGGCCCGACCTGACGAGGTCCTTCCACGAGTCGACTGTCTCGCCATGCTGGTGGCCCAGTACTTCGGTCAAGCCGACATCCACTCGTCAAGCACCAACACACGGTGGTCGCCGACCTCATAGCCGTCCTCCACCACTGCAAAGGCGCGTGTACCGGGCGGCACGCTCCCGCCAATCTCGACCACATCGCCCTCGAGCTGACTCACTGCGAGACACGGATGACAGGCGACGACAACACCGATGCCAAGGCGGACTATCCACGAGACATGAACCGGGCCGAGCGCATCGTCCGGGTTGGCACATACCACCACTACTCCCTCGCCGTAGTCAAGCAGGCGAGTGACAAGGCCGGCGCCGTGGATCTTGATCCGACCAGACGCAGCCGCAGCATCGACCAGCGCCCGCCCCAGCATAACCGCCAGCGATCCTGTAGGCGGAGGCTCGCCGGTGGCGCAGTCGAGCGGAGTCGGCGTGGCGGCAACGGCGTCGTTACCCCATAGCGCGTGTGCCTTCTCCGGTACCACGTCGATGACCATCGATACCTGGCGCTCGAGCGCCGGCTCAGACGCTGCTGTCTCAGCTGTTGCAATGATCATATACGTGCCGCGGAGTAGGCCGCGGAACTCGGCAGTGTGCCACAGCTCCAGCACCCGCTTTCCGGAGCACGGCATGATGCGCTCCAGCGGGCGGGCTGTCGGAGCAAGCGCCACCGTCCACGAGACCTTGGCACCGATGGCACACGCCTCGGGTGCACGCCACCGCACAAAGGCCGAGCTCGCAGAGACTACGGTAAGGAGGCCCGGATGCGAGCGGCCGCGCGGCGGCCAGCGCCACGCGCACGCAGTGGGCTCCAAGCCGGTGGTGTGCACACGCAGCAGGGAGCGCCCGTCGCTTGCAAGCTCGCGGCCGGTCATTCGCAAGGTGGTTGCATCCGGCAGACCCGGTGCGCGAAAGACAGCCCGGAGCTGCGGACTCCACGCCTGCGCTTTCGAGTGCCACTGCGCCGAGGGTGACTGCCATTCTTGATGACCGCGAGCCATGACCATCCGCAGGCCCCCCACGTCCTCGACTGCCTCCAGCGCATACAGCCGTCCTGCTCCGACCGAATCGGCTCTGTCGGCCGGAACAAAGAAGACCCGTGCCGGAGGTGTTGCGTCGAGCTCAGCGGCGACAGCGTCAAACCAGACCGACGCTGAGCTCCCCTCCTGCACCGACAAGATGACCGGGGCGTTGGCCAGCACGCTGGCAGCAAGCACAACTTGCTCGTTCGGATCAAGGTCTGCGAGTTGGCCTGCACCCGCCGAGAGGGCGGCGGCAGCCGCCGCAACCACGCCTCTTGCCTCGTCGACGGTTGGGAGCTGTATGCCGACACTGCCCTCGACTAGCGAGGCAAGCACCAGCTCGACGGCAGACGAGGTGGACGTGGCGTCTCGGTGGAGGACGTATGGCTCGTCGGCCAGCAGTATCTCGTCGCCGCTGTCGACAGCAGTGTCAGCGTCCAGCTCAGGGGCTCATCGTCAGCGACGGAGGCGGCAGCAGCCTCGTCAACGATTGGTTCTGCTGGTGGCGGTAGTGTTTGACACGAGGCCGGCGGTAGATCAGGCGCAGAGCGGACGAGCGAGGCCGGCACAAAGCGACCGTAGCGCTTCGGGCAGCGGAAGAATACCTCGCCGTTGACGGCGCCGGTGGTGTTGCCAAACGGCTCATCGAGAATGACTCCCACCCACACGCTGTCGCGAGTGGAGGCGGCCCAGGATACAGAACCGCAATAGACCACTGAGCCGATGAGCGCTGTCGAGTGGCCGTTGAGGCCGGCGGCGGCGGCAGACGGCAGAGCAGCGTCGACGACGACCCGCGCGCCGATCGGATAGGCTGCGAGAGCGGCGGAGCCGATAACACGCTTTGGCGACCGGGATTTGGGCCGGAGAGGAACCGCTGCGTCCCAGGACTTCTCGGGCGCTGGCTCAGGGGTAGGCGTCGGATGGGCGACGTCGACCCGGCGGGCGCGCGGCGCAGGAATCCCTGGAGGCGCCCGGCGAACGTTACGGATGGGCACGAGGCGGCCGCGGGTTTGGTGGCAGTCAAAGTAGCGGACGCCACGGACAACACCGTTTGTGTTGCCAATAGGCTCGTCAAGCTCGATGCCGACCCAGATAGGATTGCCTGGTAGCGCGTCATCGACATCAAAGCGGACGGCTCCGCAGTAGCGGACGGTGCCGGCCGGTGGGCCCAAGCGCCACCGCGGGCGCGAGTACCACGACGGCCATGCAATGGCAACAAAGACACGATCTCCGGTCGAGAGTGGAATGGTCATTGCATCTGTCCCCGGAATCCGTACCGGGAGCGGGACAGGCAGGCCATCATGCAGCGCGACATAGGTCCCTGTCTCGGCTGGCGCCTCTTTGGGCTGCGGCGGAGGAGCCGTCGATGCCGGACTTCTCTGGGAGCGACGACGCCAACGGCCACGACCACGACTACAACCACGAGCAGCGCCACGAGCAGGCGTGCGCTTGCTTGCCATAACTTCTGGAGCATCCAGAAGGGAGTCGCTGTCGTCGGGCAGCGGGCGGGCGCGGTAGGCAGGGACGATCCGAGCTGATCGCTTCCCATCTGGAGTGGAGAAGAGGCGGATGCCATGGCAGAGACCATCGGTGGTACCCTGAGCCTCGCCCACCTCTACGCCGAGCCACAGCGAGTCGGAATCAGCAGCTGCGGCGGCAGGCGACAAAGGCGGCGAGTCAGGCGCCGGGAGCCGAGTCGGTGCTGGGTGGGACGGCGGCGGAGAAGGTGGCGAGGGGCGGGGCGGCAGCGGACCCATGTAGAGGATGCGGCCTTGAAGAGGACATGGGTTTGTGTCGGTAGAGGAGGTGGGACGTCTGGCTGTGTCGAGGACAACCCGTTGGCCCACATGGAATGCGGCGGTGGCCATGGCAACGAGCAGCGGCCGGCGACAGGTGGCGGTGCGTGGGCGACAGGCGCGATGACTGGCGGTGGCAGGGAGGGGAGGGGAGGGGAGGGAGGGGCTTACGGCTCATGCATTTGTGAGATGGCTACAGTTCCAGATCAGGCAAGCATGTCGTCGATAAAGTCGTCTGTGGCGGGGACCGAGGTGGAGGACGACGACGCGCCGTACGAGGGGTTGAAGAAGTCGCCCATGTCCGAGCCAAAGGCATCATTGACGCTAAAGGTCGGGTCGGTGCTGAGCGTTGGCAAGTCGGTGGGGTTGGTGGGCACAGAGCTGGGTGGCGGCGGAGCAGACTGAACGGTATCCATGGCAACAGGCACGGGCATCGGCTGCGAGGGGTGGGAAAAGTGACCCGAGAACGGCTCGTAGCTCGGCAAGGTCGGCGGCGGCGGCCGGGCCGGCGGCGGGTTGGGCGCCCGGATGGATGGAAAGACCGAGCTCTGGATCGCGGGCGCCGGCGGCATCTGATGTGCGGGGAAGGTGGACGGGTCTTGTAGCGACGAGATGGCTGAGGAACGAGATGCCGTGGGCGCGCGCGAGAACAGGCCGCGGGTGTGGGTGGCGGGCGGAGTCTGGACCGGCTGCGGAGGGGCAAGGCCGGCGGCAGCGTAGCTGACCGAGTAGTTAGCCTGCGGCGGCGAGACGTAGCTGTTGGCAGTGGGAATGTTGGGCAGCTTTGGTGAGCTGTTGTACGAGTTGAGCGAGGGGATCGATGTCTGTGCCGAGGCCATGGTCGGCATGAGCGACGGTGGGGGCGGGTGGCGGGCGTTGGCAGCCAGCGACTGTGCGACAGCTGGGCGGGCAAAGTTGGCCGGATCAAGATGGGGGCGGGTCGGGCGGCGAGGAACAGGCTGAGGCTGGACATCGCGCTGAGTGTGGTGCGGCGGCACGGAGCGAGTGGTGACGGGAGTGCCGCGAATGACAACAAAGCCCTTGTCTCGGGCCAAGAGGAAGAGAGTCATGGAATTGCCTGTCGACATCTTGATGTCAAAGGCCAAGGCTGTGTCCACGTCTGGGATAGCCCTCTTATGCTTGCTCACAAGGTTGGCATGGATGCTGGCGAGGTGCTTGGTCGCGACCTCATCGGGTGCTTGCATGACGATGGTCCACGGCTCGACCGAGGCACTCTTGACATGCGTGAGAACGGCTTTGGCCTCGAGGACAGTACCGGCTTCGGGGCACCACGCGCCTTGCCTTGTGGCCTTGAAGAAGACAGGAATATCTGTGGCCTTGCGAGACTTGCGTTCGAGGCGGAGGATGCCGCGGGGCGCGAGGGCGGCGACGTGGAGAAACGGCAGCTGGTTCTTGCCCACGACAAACAGCATAGGCGCCGTGTTGGCACCGTTGTTGTACTTGACCTGAATGGCAGGGTACGCTTGAGCGCTGCAGTTGGAGGGGTCCATGTCAGCGAAAAAAGCCTTCCATGCCCTGTCCTCCTCCGGGCTCGCGCTGTGCGCCAGCTTGAGGCACCAGTGGCCGACAGCGGCGACGGGTGCGAGAGATGGCTTGGAGATGGCGACGAGCTCCTGCGAGTTCGGCGGCTTGGCCACGTTCTTGGCACCGGCCATGGTTGCCGAGCGGAGAAGGACCGGGACAGAGACGCCCGACGGAAGCTTGAGGATGTGGCAGCGGTACGGCTTGGCGGCGATTGAGCCCTGGATCTCCTTGTACAGCCGTGGTGTCGAAGTAACGGAGATAGTGCCACGCAGGGTCGGGGTCGAGGCCGCGGCGCGACCGACAATGCCGTCGATGGGCCGCGGGGCGATGACAGACAAGACGATACCGGCGCCTGCCAAGCGGTTCATGACGACGTCCGACGAGAGCGGGCCGTCCGCATCGCCCATGAGAGCACCTTGCGGATAAGGCTTTGAGGCGGTAACGAGAACAATGTCCTTTCTTCTGATGTTTGAGGATGCTGAGAGGCGAGAGAGGATGTCAGCGGCCGCGAGGAGAGCATCATCGACGGGGCCGTGAGCGTATCCTCCGCCAGTAAAGTCGATGGTTTCGAGAGGGCGCTCAAAGGTGACCTGCTTGGAGGTAAAGGGACGGACCGAGACTACATAGCTTGCATGTGGAGGAAAGTCCTTGAAAAAGATGGTGGCCACACGAGTCATGTACTTGCTCACATCCTCAGCCGTCGCCGTCCTCGGCACCAACAGCGGCCGAATGACCTCGGACACCGCCTTGTGCATCTCTTCCCAGTACGGACACATGTGTGCAGACGCGTCCACAACCACAACTATCGCATCTGTCGCCTTCCCACCGCCTTCGCTAGTACTTCCCGCCATGCTGAGGGCGGGGGGGGGGGGGTTTT